CCTGGATGGGAGGCGAGACGTCTTTAAACTTGGAAACAAAATCCAGCAGATTATTTTTTTTACTTTTTTTGGAATGACTATTGCCTGGAAGACTGAGAATCTTCACCAGCAACGAGTAAGAGAAACATTTAACATTGTTTTCATAATGCATAAGAGGTAAAAATCTGAAAAGTGCGGCTGACATAATGTATTTGGAGCCATGTTCTCCAAAACTCTCTGGGGAAATCCACTTCTTTCAGAAACCAGTTGATTAGTAAATAGGCTTGGTTTGTTTAAGCTTTGTTAGTTCAAATCTGGTCTTTTTATGCAGTCCCACAGTTTTGATCGAGAACATTAGAAAATAAACAGGATGATGAAAACCAAAGACCACGACAGACAGGTCACAGAATTATGTGAAGAAAGGCCAGAGCAAAATCAACCCATCATGCAAGCATGGAGAGTACAACACAAAACAAAGCTGTTGAGAGTAATTCATTAGAAGTCCTTTCTTTCAGTCAAATAGGAGCAGGTCTGAATATATTGAAGGGATGAAATTCGAATGACAGAAAAGGTTCTTCATGTTAAATGCAAAAAGTTTATTTTGATATCTTCAACTGGATTGAATTCAGTAAACAATTTTCTATAATGCATCATTTGCTATCTGATTATAAAGCATCATGATGTGGGGAAGATTTTCTGCAGCTGGAGCAACAAAGTTAGAAATAATGAGGCTTCCTCTGCAGTGGGGGTCATCTTCCCAAATGTGCTGCTTTTAGATCTCATCGTCACTCAGTCTCAGTATTTATAACCACATCAGGCTAAGCTTCTAGGATCCATGTCAGCATACCGGATCGGGTTTAAACCAGTGTGATCTGCTCCAGAAACCGGACTCTTTCAAATACTCTTTTCCCACTGGCTGAAAAACCTGTTTAAACCCAGGAACAATCGGCTTTTAGTGGCTGTGGGAACGCCTCACTGACTCGTGTCTAACCGGTTCAAACTAACCGGCAAGCGACCTGCGTTAAAATCTTCTCGGCTCTGATTGGCATGCTGTCGAAACACCAGAGCCGGTATTCAGCTAATTTACGTGATACCATTAAACGCAACGTACGGACGTTAACATCTGATCTAAGCTGAAAAAACTCTGTTTACATTTGAAAAACATGACAC